GAGAGAGCGACACCAAACACACTTTATCATTATCTGTCGTTCACTTATGTGAGCACATATGCTGACATGTTGATATCTTTCCTTTGAAAAACCCGTCCCGAAGAGTTCAATACTAATGAGCTGTGTGTATATGTATGTGGATGAGAACTAGTTCGATAAACATGACTACCTATACGTTAAAAAGATTTATGCCTTTTTGTTTAATAACCTGAAGTTCATTTTGAAAAGATATGATAAGAGAATATATAGTCTATGATGCGTAGATCGTTACTGTCGTGTTCGATAATTTACTGGTCTAGTTCATAGCGTGTTTGAACATCTTCTTTTTCTCTTTTTTTTTCTGTTTCAAAAAAAAACATATGGAATGAGACACATTTTTGACACATCAAAGTTCGTCTTCTTTTTCTTCTTCATAAAGGCGAAAAGAAAACCAGTAGCAACATCTGTTTTACGTTTGAAAATATAATAGACAAAAAAAACAAAGAAAAATGTCGTTTATATTCGATTGAGAATCCATGTCATTGGACGAATGCGATAGTGAGAAGAAGCAAAAAGAAAAAAGAAAAACTTTCGATCGTATTCTCTTCTTATCCCATTTTTTTTTGTTTTAAAGAAATGTTTTTCATTTGGTTTTAATTATACAATATACACATAGATCAAATAAGATGATACAAGAATATTTTTTTTAGTATTTATCCTCACGATCAACAACAAGACGAAGTGACCAAAGATCAAGAAAGTGCTGATACACATACAATTTGGAATGCAAATAAAGTAAGTACATTAGAATAAAAAAAAAAGAAAAAAAGAAGTTTTATCATTAAAAAAGAAAAACAGAAGAAAACCCGTTTGCATGTTTGATGAAGAAGGGGTGGACATATACGAAGAAAAAATCTTTTAAAAGCTTGTCTTGTCGACAATAGAACACGAGACAATTATCAGCGGATTTACCAATATAACCAATAGAAATTAGAATGAACTAGGGAAAAAAATGTCTTATATATACCATAGAAAGAAGTGTCTTTATTTCATTTGTAACATAGTCATTTTGAACAAAGATGGTTATCTTTTTTTGACAGATGGATTAATAAATATACATAATGCAGGTATGGAATATTTTTATTTTATTCCAATTGGATAGAAATTATAGTATGTTCGTGTTCCGTCCTTCTCCTTCTTTTTTTTTTTTGTTATATTGACATCCCACGTATTGAGTGAGTTGACACTAATGGTGATCAAATATGAATGAGAGAGTTCCCGTTTTTCATCTCATGCGTGTGTATAGTATGATTGTTATTACTCGAAAAAAAAATTCTTCGATTAATCGTCTGCATAGTACCATGCGACGACAAGAGCTCCTCCTGCTCATCGATTCGAACCAAATGAAAAATGAGTGTCGTGTGTATATATATATATATGTAAGTTAGTAAAAAAAAAAGAAAAAGAGTGATTGATCGATTTTAACAATACATCTCTATATAAAGAAAAGGTGTATGGATGGATTATTACATTTTGATCGAGTGACCAACCACCATTTCAAGTGTCAAATATCATCCTAACTACCAATATGTTGACTTTGATGGTTGGACATATTCGTTGTGTGTGTTGTTTTTTTTGATATTCTCGGACGAGTCAGGTCATTGACCCTTACGGCACAGAGGTGTGTACATATATATATATATGCTTTTGAACAGTGCCGCATGAAGTCAATCTATATATTTGCATTATCATCATTTGAAAAAATATCCGATGTTCATAAAAGTCTGTTTTCTGGCGCAAAAAAAAAGAATCTAAATTGTCCATCGCATCACATATCATTTGTTTGATATTGGACAACCTTTAGAAAAAAAAAAAAACAAGATGCAAATAATTGAACATTGAACAATGAAAATTGGCCTTTGGCTAAAAATTAAATCATTGAAAAATGTTTGAACAAATTTTGTTTTATGAGAAAAAAAATAATAAAAACATATTTGTTAGATTTTATTATTGAATAAGAAGGCGGATTAACACGAATTTATGTGTTCTCTCACCTGAGGTGGTCCTACTTGACTCATCATGTTTTCAAGACGCTCATACATAAAAACTCAGTGATAATTACTTTGCTCTGAAAATGAGGTGTGAATGAAGACGAGTTGATTGACAATAGCTAACTGACCGCCTTTCACACCTTTACTCTCCGATTATCGCCTACATCGTTTTTATGTTATATACATATATATTGTCATCAAAATTTCGAGTGTCTTGTCAGAATTTGCGAAGAAGTGTGTGACAATGAGCAATATGTATCAAGAGAAAACTAATAAAGAATCTGTTTTGTTTGTTGCCGATATCGCCTGATGCTCGTTCGCGTCTCACCTGTGTGTGTATACGACGCACGGACGAAAAAACATAATTACACACGGGACGCCGTCCCTCCGTGATGGAATCATATACATATATATATGTATATATAAAAGACGAGAGAGAGAGAGAATGCGATTGTTCAGTTAATTTTAGATTCTTTTCATGTTATTCTTATTGAATGAGTGAGTTGAGCTGAGCTGATTGTTGACTATCGGCATCGGCATCGTCTTTATCACATCCGTTCTAACATCGATGATTGAATTTGACAAGTAGCACCGACAATAGAAAAAGAAGACGAAGTTCGAAGACAAGTAAACATATATTGTAATATTAGCAGCAATAGTCTTATTTTATATTATCAATAAATGTTTAATTATCATTATTGATTATCTTATAGGTTTCACCAACATACGACGATAACACACCAAGTATTCAATATTCAAATTCTGATTCTGAATTAGAAAATTCAAATCAAAATACAAATTCAATAAATAATCATCATCATCCTTGTCGAGAATGTGGAAAATCTTTTGCTACAACAAGTGGTTTAAAACAACATATGCATATACATTCATCAATAAAACCATTTCAATGTGAAGTTTGTTTTAAATCTTATACACAATTTTCAAATCTTTGTCGACATAAACGAATGCATGCTGATTGTCGTACACAAGTTAAATGTAGATTTTGTGGACAAACATTTTCGAACAGTGCTGCACTTAATAAACATCGGTAAGAAAAAAAAAAACATTTTTTTTTTGTCAATTATTCGATTTCTTTAACACACAAAGCTTTTTTTTCTTTTCGTATAGACGTTTTTGTGGAGATATAACTTCATTTAATCATACTTCTTCAAAATCACCCTTATCAATTCCAACACAAGCAGCGCCCCCTCAACCTTCAGCACCACCACCTCAACCAACAACTCTTCCAACAATGTCTTTAAATAAAGAACAAATGAATAATTGGTTATGGAATTCAAATTTTCCATATTCACTTTTACCTTATTTACCACGTTTAGCAACAATAAATCCATTTCTTAATGGTACATTATCACCATTTTTTTCTCATCCATTTTCATCACCAACAACAAATACGAATGATTTATCACCAGTTAATTCAATTGAAGATAAAACAAATTCATCAACAACACCAATATCAACGAGTCCTAAACACGAACAAACAATAAAACGTTTTAATAATGATGATATTCCACTTGATTTAAGTGTTAAAAAATCTCGTTATGATCAATCACCAATAACATCAAAATCATCATCACCTGAACGTGATATTAAATCTCCTTCAATAATACATAATGAAATAGCAAATCAACAAAAATTTTCAACAACAACTAAATATGATGTTGATTCATTATTAAATCATGTTAAAAATACAAAATCAAATTTTAAATTTGACATGATTAAACATTTAAATACATTTTATCATCAACAATCAACAACTATATCATCATATCCTCCAACATCATCAACAACAACAACAACAACATCAGCAACAAATAATATTAATAATCCATTGGATAATTGGCAACAACATCAACAAACAAATAAATTACAATATTTTAATACTCGTTTAAATAATAAAGATAAATATACATGTTCTTATTGTGGAAAAGTTTTTCCACGTTCAGCGAATTTAACACGACATTTACGAACACATACAGGCGAACAAGTAAATTCTTTTTTGTTTAATGTCATTAGAAAAAAAAATCAAATTTTTTTTTTCTTTATTTTAGCCATATCGTTGCAAATATTGTGAACGATCATTTTCAATATCATCTAATCTTCAACGTCATATTCGAAATATTCATAATCGAGAAAAAAAATTTCCATGTCATTTATGTGATCGTCGTTTTGCTCAACAAATTAATCTTGAACGACATTTAACGAAACATGAACGTGGTTTGCCATTAGAAGATTTATCTGGTGATGATGATACATCATTAAATGATTATCCAATACAATCATCAACATCATCAAATCAAACACAATTAATAACAAATGCAGCAGCAACAGCAGCAGCTGTAGCTGCAGCATTTCATCAACAACATACTATGGATTTATTTCAACGTTTATTACCAACAAATACAAATAATTGTCAAACAAATAATTCAATTATAAATCAACGTCGTTCATCATCAGTTTCATCAACACATACAACAACATCAACAACAAATTCATCATTACAACAGAGAAATGTTGATGAAGATGATACAATACAAAATGAAGAACAACCTGATAGTTGTTCACAATCAATACAATCCGAAGATGATGAAGATATTTCGTCACCAATTAATTCTTGAACTATTTTAATACAGTCACATATTTGAATCTCAATGAACTGATAAAATTTAAAAAAAAAAAGAACTTTTTTTTTCTTGTTTATTATTGCATTTCATCATATTATACACACACATACAACACAACACAACACAACACCCATACACATAATTCTGTCTCTCTCTCTCTTTCTCGTTTTTTTTTCTCTTTTTGGCATTGCAATAATCTTCTCGTTTCTGTCTGTCTTTGAATGCTTGTTTTTCTTTTGTTTTTGTGCACATACATTATATGGAAAAAACAATATTTATTCCAAGTCTGTTTTTGTCGGTGGATTTACTGATGCATAAGGTGGTTGTGTTGCTGGGACAACATCTTTATAACATGGTGGATGTTGTTCTAAAATAATTGTATCATCTGTAGCAGAAAACTTCTGTACCGAATTATTGCTAGAATCATTTGCAGAGATTGTATATGCCACGGAAGGGCTAACAACTGAGTCTACAATGAAAATAAAAGTATAGAAAAAAACTTTCAATACTACATAGTTACTTACTGAAGCTTTTCCAACGTTTTAAAATATGCAAATGCTTATTAATATTAGCTAATAAAGTAAGTGCAACAATAAGACAGAAAGCACAAAGAAAACTAAAATTAAAAAATTTAATTTAGAAAAATGTCTACATCAAAAATAACATTATTTACATAGTCCACCAGTGGTATCCAAATATTGTAATTGTTGTTGTTTGTTGTGTTGGTGGATTACAACAAGTTGTATTTTCTCGTGTTTGTCTTGACAGAGGACAACAAGTAATTGGGCACCTAAAACAAAAAACGATTGTTGTTTTACAGAATAATTACATTAATAGACATAAGAATGTTTAACTCTTTGAAGGAAGGCCACGGTACGTTGTCTTTAAAGTATTGACAATATGCGTAGGCATTTGACTAAATACATATAAGATAAAGATACAACAAATGGTTTTTAACGTTAATATTTACGATTTGAACCTGTTCAACAAAACATAATAGAAATATGAACAATGTTGTTGAAGACCATGAATGTAAGTTAAATATTTTTACACTCATCTTTTTGTAGAATATTTACCAAATGAGCAAAAGTTAGTTATACGATGTATTAGTTTAAAAATAAAAATGAGGAAATGAAAAAAAGACTCGGCAAAAAAATATAGTTAACTTCGAGTACTAGAGAGAAAAAAAAATAAGAAGCATAACAATAATATTTTTTCTCTCATTAACTAAAAGAAATTAGTTCACCAACTTTTTAGCTTCGTCTTAAAGCATCAGAATAGACAAATGAATATCACAGAAGGTAAATATACCTCTTTGTGTAATAACTATTCTTTTTTTTTCCATCTCATTTAGATAAGAAATAGTCTCGAGTTGCTTTATTTTTGTTTAAAATTTCAATTAAATATATTCTTGTTGTTTTTCTTCTTCTTTGTTAGAAAAAAAAATAATCATAATAATAAAACACAAAGAGAAAAAAAAAGATATGTATGACTAGAAAACAAAACAAAAAAAAAAACGAAAATTATAAACAAAAAAATTCATCATGATGAAAGCGTACAATGGAGTAAAAGATCATGTTGTGAACGTTTTCTTAAAACTGTTTTTGCTTTGTCAACATATTCTTGTAAATAACTATGATTTAATTTTAATGGTTTTTTATTTGCTATTATTTTTTTTAGATCATCATTTTTTAATACTTGTTTCCAAGTTTCTAAATTTAATTGTAAATCATATTGCCATGGTAATGTATAATTATTTAAATTTGTTGTTGCTGTTGATTCTTTTTGTACATAATCAAGAGAATCAATTTGAAGAACTTTTGATAAAACATCAAACTAATGAAAAAAAAGAAAAAGAAAACAAAAATATAAAATTTTAATTAGGAAAAAGAAAAATCAAACTAACTGTTGGATGAACAATATGTGTTATAAAACTAATTTGTAATTGTACAATATTAGTTGATTCTCTATCAAATGTTGGTTTATGATCTTCATAATGAATTTTTTCTAAATCACCTTGTACAAAAAATTCTTCCATAATTCTTTCAGCTGATTGAATATAAATTGTCCATGGTTTAGCAGCATTTGATATATCAGCTGCATGTAATAATGTTTGTAATAAAGTTTTTGAATCAGCTGATGGTGTTGTAGAATTCGTTTCTTTAAAAAAGAAATATGTTGACATACGTTCAATTAATGATGCATGATTTGCCATATCAGTTGCTAAAACAAGTGATATAACTAATGAACGAAATGTACGATATTCATTTGAATCCATATTGGACAAAATATTATATCGTTTATCACGTAAAAGTTTGAATATTGAACTTGCATGATGATTTTCTAATATACAAAAAAGAAAAAATTTCAAATTAGTTTTCTATTAAAACTTAGATCAGTGAAGTTTTAAAAAAGAAACATGCGGAATTAACATTTTCAATCTTGAATAAATTCTTTCATTGACTGAAGACTACTATATAAAATAATTGTTTTTGTTTTCGAGAATAATTGAGAAATATATTTAATGTAAAATATTATCTTTCTGTATTAACAGATTGAGTAGTTCTCAAAAGAATTAGAAAACTATGAACAACACTACCGACTTTTTTCGACTGGAAATTTTTAGGTTTCCCATATTAAATTTATTTTTCTAGTTAATATACGCTTCGAAATATTCTCTACGCATTAGATTTAGTTCAAAAAAATATATATTAAAACCGAAAAAGATTGAATATTTTTCTTGAAAACATACTATTCCGCTATTTTACTAAAAAATTCCAACAGAATCGTCTTCATTTCTCAACCACAGTAGATCAACTTGAACTAAAAGTTTTTTCTACTTATACTAGAAACTGTTAAAATATGATGTACCAGAATTCACAAACAAACACATATTGTTCGAGAGTTTTCTCTAGATGTTTATGTTTTTATTCAGATGGAAGGAGATTAAAACAAAAGCAGAGAACTCAACTAGCCTAAAATATCTTTTTAAAAAAGCTTCAAGTTCTATGAGGAATATTTTGACTGAGAAAAATAGGGCTATATTTTTGCCATTGCAGTCTTAATATCTTCTGTAGAAAAGTGTCCAAGAACTTATAGTCTATGACCACTTTTGCCTTTTTAGCCTGAAGCTCTCGAAATTTTCTGATAAGTTGTTCTTCAATAATACTGGAAAGGAAGAATGTTCCCGTAAGTAGACAGTCTTGTTAAAATATAAATCGTAAAGAAGTTCGATGTCAAATCATTATTAAATGGGTTCTCGATGAACTACATATCACTTAGAACATTCCAGGGAGCTTACTTTATTTTTATCGGTTCTTTTTTCATATCGAACAGATGCATCATTTTATTTCTTGTTGCTTTGAGTTGTTGCTTTGAGTTTTCCTGTCGAAAGATGACATTGATATGAAAGAAGATCACTATCAATGATTTATTCGTTCTGTATTCTTATCATTTTATAGGATATGTTTTAATCTTGATCTACGAAATTTACAAATAATTGGAAATGTTTTCTTATTAAAAAGTCTTAAATAATAACTAATCTTTAATCAATCGTTTGTTTTCTAATAATTAAACTAAAAAAAAAATAAACCATTTTATCGATTCGCTTTTTTTTTCAATCAATGTCATAGAGTGAAAGGACTAGAAATTTTGTATATTCTATTCATTTTCAATCATATTAGGTGCCATAAAAATCATATGAGCTATTATATTAAAAGAATCTATTGACATGTATTCATATGAAAAACAAAACATATTGTAGATATTTTTGTTTTTTCTTTTCTTGTTTTCTTTTACCTAATACACTAAAATCATTATAAATTAAAGCTAAATCATTTTTTGTTTTAACAAGATAACCATTATTTAAACCTGGATGTTCATAATCATGAATTGCAGCTGAAAACAACTAATAATAATAGAACAAAAAAAAAAGATACAATTGATGAATAAATAATTTGTTATAACTTACTAAGGCCGCTATTTCAATTTGCGTAAATACATTCATTAAACTACTTTTTATTAATAAACAATGTGTCGTTTGAAGTACATCAGCTCCATGAAAATCATTATGATAAGGAGTTTGATATTCTATATAGATACATTTATCAAAAAGTTTTCTTCTGTTTCTACATACTTTGATAACCATCCGTGAGAGCGCGACAAAAATTTTTTAATGTATCAATATCAATGTGATAGCGTGATATTATATCATGGGCATCGAATATAAGTAAAATTGAAAAGACAAAGGGTTCGTCGTATTCCATCATATTAAATGACCATAAATTTAATTTATATATATCAACAGGTAGATCAAGTACGGCTGATAAACGTTCTTTAGCATTTTGACGTACTTGTCTTTGTAGAGCATTAACAAATGATGATGCTTGAATAACAGCTTTAATTGATTCAAAACGACTAGCAGCTGTTGTCGAACGTTGTGGTTTTGAAGAAAATGTTTGTTCTAACCATTTACTTATTTGTCCGTCATTGGATGTAATGTTTATTTCACTTTGTCGTGTATCGTCAGATAGAATGTCGACCAAATTATAAAGAATTCCTTAAAAACAAATCTCTATAGAGCTGTCGATTGTTCTTTTTCGAAGCATCAAAGAATCTTAATCGTTAAATAACAAAGAAGATCAAATAACGTTTTGAGAAAAAAAAGAAACGCATGAATATATTTTGAGTGATCATTTATGTACTCGATTTTAAAAAGAACAGTATAAATAAAGAAAAACTCGAAACCATCGATTCTTTTGTTAGACAAGACTTTCTTTTTTTGAATTGTAATTTGAGAATAAGGAAAAAAAAACAGAAAAAAAAACCTTATCATTGACATACCATCGAGTTCTTTACCAACTTTACCTAGCATTTCCACTTGGTCGGATAGACCTAAAAGAAGCTAATAGTAAATTCAAAAGAAAAACCTTCATAGCATTTCTAATTTGATTTTCAATAGATGGATTAGATAGATAATATTGTCCTGTCTTAAGGATTTGTTTTTTTTTCAATTAATATGGAAAATTGAAAAAGAAGAGAAAAAAAAAGAGAATAATGATTATCATTTACCATCTTTAGTTAAACTTGATTGAACTTTTCGAACTTGTTCAGTTGCTATACGAAGACGACCAAGTATATTAACTGTTGACATAGATGAATTTTCCGGTTTAATATTTGATGATAACAAATCGAAATGGTTCGATTTGTTCATATTCAATTACTAAATTGATAGTAATGATGATGATGATGATGATCGTTGTTTTACTAGTACGACTTTTATATTTTTCTTCTTCTTCTTCTTCGTCTTCTTTTTTCTTCTCTTTTTTTTTCTATAATATTGTCGCGTCGTCGACGATGGCGTTTTCTCTCTTGTATAGATGCGTGTATAGGAGTAAAGGATGCTTGCACTGACTGTTGCACACACACACACACGCACAACACTGTGTTAAATGGAACAGATTCAAAACGGCAACATTTATGGAAATATTCTTTTTCTTTTTTTTTCGCGCGCGCGTTTATATATACAACAAAAAACAGTCAAATTGTAGAGTCCGACTGCTGTGTTTTGTTGTTATCGGTATTGTTTTCTGTCAAGATGTGCACAGCAACAAAAGGAAGTGTTCTAATGTGAGACAAAAAAAATCAAATTATTCATTACAAATTTATGTTTAGATGAAATAAAGATGTTTTAAATATGAAAAAAATACTATGATATTATTGATTATTAGATAATGATACATGAAATGAACAATAGTTAAATAAACAAGAAAAAAGAAAAAACATGTAACTCAATTTTTTTCATAAGGACAACTTTGACTTTATAGTTTGTCATTCGTAAGAAGGTAAGTCGACGAGCACTGACGAGCTAGGATTGACGAAGTAAAAAGAGAAACGAGTGAATTTTTTCTCTTCTCTCGTGCTTCATCTAACATTTTCTTTAGCTTTTCCTTTATACTAATTTCTGCTCGTCCAGTCGTTTCGGTAATTATCAACAAAGAAAAGAAAACATAGAAAGAATATCTCTATCATCATACGCTTCATATCATCATATTACCAATTACATCTGCTAATAGCTGTAGCTATTGTATTCTATTTACATCATCAACTAGTACTGTTATTTTTTTTAAGGTGCTTCATCTCGTTTTTTTTGTTTTCTCATTGACAGTGTTGATCTCTTTTTCTCATATACAGGAAATTATTCTATAGAAAGAAAGGACAACGAAAAAAGAGAGAGAGAGAGAAACTGAAAACGACATCCGAGTTGTCAAGAAGAGTTTCAAGTATTATTCATATCAGTTGATGACAAGTAACAGCCATTCATTTTTGTGTTCTTTGTTACTTAATAATTTCTATTTTCATTCTTACTAACCAAAATCAATTCATCATAATTCTTGTCAGTATAAAGTAACTAAGCCGTTATAGAAAAAAAATGATTATATATTTCTATATTTTGATTAGAAATAAACATAAAAAAGTTTAAAAAAACACTAGATTAAATTGAATGATTGACAAAATTAATTTGATTTTGTAAGTTTTGTTTTTCATTCTATTTTGTATGTGATCATGGAAAGCATGAATTATATGAAAGTAAGAAAAAGAAAAAACAATACATTTTTAGAATAAGTTCAATGCTTGATTTAAGGTCATTAACACATTCGATGTATTGCCAATCTAAAGGAAATTCTTTCATAATGTGCATGAATAAATCATCGATTTTTCCATTAGCATTTCAAAGGAATGTATGCTCGAAAGCCTAATCAGAAGCTTTAAATACAATTGGAATCTTCTGTCAAATTACAACGTGACTTTCTCTTAACAGATCCTCTTATACAAAATAACAAAAACAGTTTTTTTTTCCTAAGAAGGAAATATTACTTCTGTGGTGACATCCGTATTTTAAAAAAGTCTCTATTTCCTATAATTTGATGAACTGGAAGTTTCCTTTTACTTGTATTTCAATAAATTCAATATTTCTTAACAATAAAAATCTTTTCATCACTTGTTTTTAAATCAACATTAATAGATTATTTTATTATTTTCGATTCATTTGACTATTTATACGCTTTTTTTTATTGTATCATTCATATTTGTATGTTGTTTTTATTACATTTTAAAAATAAATAACAAGATGGTATTCATAATACATTGACAATCTGAATTAATAGAAAAATCTATCATGAAAGAATATTGCTAGCGTATAAAAAAAAAAATCTTTTTCTTTTATCCCAGAAGACAAACACATCATCGTTTAGAATAAAGTATTGCAAATAGTACACGCTAAGGTCAAACAATATAGATAATTGAATCTGATTTCATATTAAACTACTTATATTAGATAAAAACCACTATATTCATTGATCAATTCATATCATTTAACATCGTTCATATTAAATATACGAGGATCTAAATTAAGAAGAGACAAAACACTCTTTTCTTTATTATAAAAGAAAAAAGTCATCAAACTTCAAACTTCACACTTCAAAATAATAAATAATTCAGAGCTCGCATGATCAAGAATATTACTTGTCATTTAATAACTAATTAATGAATATGTTTGACCACTTGAATTTCATTTCAGTAATTTAATAGATCACCCATCAGTTATAAGTGATAATGTAGATAATATATCTATGATTAAATTAACTCAAGGAATTGATACTATATATAATCGACTTTCGTTTGATATAGACAAGCCAACAAATACACAGATTAATGCAATAATATTTACAGTTAATTGAAATAAAAGAAATTTTAATATAGAATCTAGCACATTTCTTCTCCACATGATGGCTTTAAGGCACCTTCTCCTACCTCTCTTCATTCAACAATCTAATATCGACAGAGTACTTTGTATAAATGTTTGGCTCATAGAAACACATTAATAACAAAAAAAACTCACGTCTCCATACTTTACCGTTCAGAAGATTTTCAAAGACTAAGCTGCCGAGTTCCGTTTACTTTTATTTTGAAAGAGAGCTCGATACCACTTCGGATAAGGAAATGAGTTGTTTTTTTATTGTATTTTTCAGGTAATCGAAAATTCAAAAGTTTGAAAACCCTCGACATAATTGTTTTTTTTTTTGGAAAAAAAACATTGTTTTATCCAGAACTAATGACTGATTGCAAAATTCCTTTCTCTTATCTGAAGGACTATGCATATATCTATCGATGGAAAAAGAAAACATAGCTCTCTAGAAAGAAGTATATTAAGAAAAAAAAATTTGTGCGCCGTTCGATCATTATCGGCAAAATCAATTTCGAGAAAAACGCCAAAGAAGTTTTTCTTTTATAGTGTTCTTATTATTACTTAAAATGGAAGTGAAGCATAAATATATTACATGTCAATCGAAGCACTTATCAATGTATATGAAAGAAAAAACAACGACGAAAACATAATGAAGAAAAAAGAAAAGGTGATGATTGACGATGGAAATGTTTGATGACAGAAATAGCTAGGACAATAATAACATCGATGAAGTTTTATATAGTATTATTTCAATTGATGGAGATGATTAGCTTGTAAAGTAATTAATACAGGTTTTATATGCTTTTTTTTTTAATAATAAAATTGAAATAAGTAATTTATATTCTGGTTGCTCGTGAAATACTGTTAATTATTAATTCGAACTTTTTTAAAGTAGGAAAATGCATAATAGAAATCAAGCAATAGTTTACTAGAAATTATTGAAGATCTCACCAGTGTATTTCTAAAATGCACAAGATTTGGTTATTTCTGTGAAAACTATTTGTTTATTTTGTAGATCTAATTCTACAAAAGATATTTTACTAATTGCTTTGTACATTATTATTTGCCCAAATAGTTTCCAAGATCATTCATCAAAACTTCAAACACTTTTGAGAATCAAAAGTATTTATACAAATTCTTACTCTAGACAATTACGACAATATATTCATATGTTTATATCAAAACTCATTTTTTTTTTTGGCAACAATGAAGTTTTCTGAGATTAGTGTCTTGAATGGATACGGTTTTTCCTACTCGGAATCGAAAAAGAGCTAATCAATATCCGGTATATTCTTTCATAATCACAGTCTACTCTTGAAACTGTTATTTTATATCCGAAAAATTATACTATATACTTTCTTCCCAAAAAAATAGCAAAAAAAAAAGAAAGTTATTCAAGATTGGCTTGGTGTCACTTTACTTCTAAAACCTGATCAATTTCGCTAAGTTTGCTTATTGCTGATGATGTTGAAGTAGAAAACAGTGCTGTTGCCAAACTTCATTATTGTGGATATATACATGAATGCATTTTCCATCACGATAACACATGTTCACCTTTTTTTTTAATAATTGATTTTCCTCTCCATGTATTCAATTACTTTGTTGTATGGCTCGTCATCATTTGTAGACTTGCAATCGAAATATATGATTAATTTCTTTTTCTTTTATATATATATATATAATTTATAGCTGATACTTCTTTTGCCATGTTTGCACCGCGAATACTCATTGAAAACGCAATAGAAGCGTTTTTAAGTGCTAGTTCGTCATCAGTAACAATTTTATTTTTCATTAGCTGTTTTGATTCAGCTAAGTGTTTAACAAGTAAATATTTATCTTTTACTGATGATGGTGCTAACACAAGCAAACTTTGAATTAATTCTATTAAATAAATATTGATCAATATTAAAAAAAAAGATTTGAACGTATAGGTCGATAAAATTTTTTTCAATTGAAAACAAGTAAATGATTTGTCGGAGATGTGATATATCAAGTTTTTAAGTTATTGATCGTGCTTCATTTACAATTATTACCTGTAATTATACGAACAGTTATGCTAGCTTCTTGACAGAATTCAATTGCTTTTCAAATTTATTGAAAATGTAAATTTTTAAACGAAGAAAACCAAATGATTACTTCCAGTCGAACACGATCTTCAATACCACATATACAGATTAAATCTTACAACATAATTGTTTCATCAATTCAATCATTAAGTATATGATCGAAATCTGTATAAGTTATACATATTGTTTTTAAATCATTCGAAGTCATAGGTTTAATCAAGGGGGAAAAAGCGATTTGTGATTTTGTGATTTAAAATGATTTTTGGTGATTTTAAATGATTTTAAAATGATTTAAATCATTTTAAATCATTTTTTCGCATGATTTAAAATGATTTAATTATGATTTTCAGATGATTTAAATCAGCTTTCCTCCCTTGGGTTTAATAGTATTATTAAAAAGGAGTAATATTCAGATTTGCAAAATTAGTAATATATGAGAAGAGAGTTTCTAAGGAAACACTCACATTACTGACACTTGTTAATTATGCAAAATACTAAAAATTCTTGTAGTGTTTTTCAGATGACTTTCTATATTTCTATTGACCTATAACTTCATTTATCTAGATTGAGGTTAAAAAAATTTCTTTCTCATGAGTCAATAATTACGGAAGTTTCCTAGAGATTTTTCTTCTCAGGTGTTAGTAATTTCGGAAATTTCCTTAGTAGGAAATCGGAACACTGCTGAGAAAAATGTAGAATTAGAACAATAACATTTATTATAGCAACGATCATTCCAGTGAAATTCATAGAATTATTTTTAGAATAACTATGTAAACACGCTCATGTATTCAATTTGAATAGATAGTTTTCAGTGTTTTTATTGAGATGTTTTCTTCCAGATGGATAAGTTAAGACTACACGAAGGCAAACACCCACTTTTTAACAACCAACACGCAATATACATGATATAATAAGAATAAACTCTGAGAGGGTCAACCTGATCTTGGGAGAGGCATGATCTACTCGGCCCTCATACTAAATAAGTCACTGAATATTTAGCTAATTTAGTGCATGGAGTCGATTATTATCATTCTCAGCTTGTGCTCTCTATTAATTTTTCCTTTCAATTTTATTTTCTACAATAATGTTACTTAATAGAATAGAAAAAAATAAAAATTATTATGTCAGTTTTCGTATTAGTCAATGAGTTAAACCAATTTGACAAGATTTACCGACAGCTATATTGAACACTTTTCCATCATCTGTGCATCTTAAATAACTGAAATAAATATTCAATAAATAAAAAATATCAGAAAGAAGAAATAGATTTTATTATGATTTAATTCTCCTATTAATGATAATTTATCAAGTTTCAATTTATCCTTTTAGAAAACGGATTCTTCGTTTGTAAAGCTAAATAATGAAACACAGAATTAGTTAAAGTAAATTAATTTTCATTTCTAATCAGCGCTATTGATTTTTCAAAGGCTAATACAGCGCACATGCATATCATTCATATTGATGTTTATCGCAGCTGGAAATCCATTGCTGTGCTAAATTAGCGCAGTTAGATTAAATTCATCACAGTCATCAAGATTCTGTCTGTTGGACTTATGGATACTCAAATCCGGTGCAAATTCATGCAACTTTACAATGTTCCTAAAAAAAAAACATTACCGCTGTTGCAATAGTATTTTTGAAATATCTCCTCCCGCTGCTGGCACTGTTATGGTGACGACAGCGTCGCTATTAACTGCTCTACATGTTCGTACCAAAGCATACAGCAATGCGAGTTAGATCAATGATAAGTAATGCGAATCAGTAGATTTGAACTTATTCGGGACGGGAAACACTCATATTCATCTCCTGTCTCGAAAAGGTTAAAGAAAAGAATAAATTGAATAGAGATAAAAGTCTTTTTTTTAATGACCTTTATTTACTATGTTTGTTTAAGTCGAAAGTCAAATAAAGGATGATAAAAATCGTAGAAAACAAGGCCTAATTATGTCATCGAATATATAATAAGAGTTATACATGTTACCTTCTTTAAAGCTTCTAATGTAAAATGAACAAAACTCTTTTTCTAATTCTTTTAGAAATCTTATTATTAACAACTATCTTTTTTCAATTTAATAGATCTAATTGGTTATCAGTTTTTACAATATGTTTGAAGTTTTTTTTTAAATCACATAGATCACCAAATGTTATATTAAGTTCCTTCACACTATCATGATTATGTATATGTTTGCATTAGGATCTCTAAAGTTTGGCTTGAAATATCGAATGTATGAGTAAAAGTTATTTGGTTTTGATCTAATTAGATAAACGTATCTGATTATTCCTGACTTTTCACTTCATACGTCAAATGTTTACATCCGAAATATATACAACAACAAAAACAAACAAATACAGAAAATAAAAGACAATAAATTCTTAGGTCTATACTTTTATCTAGACGTCCTCGATAGCTAGAAGTAGAGTTCATCGGATCCAGGTCCAAACATTTTGAATCTGATGGATTCAAATCATCTGCAAAATGTGTAGGATGTGCTAGTCACTGAATATAAAAATCCGGAAAAAAAAACATCTTTTATCTTCGGGCAACTATCCTGTTCCGATTAGAAAATTTTATTCAACTTATCAATGCACGACTCTGAGTTCGACAATGTTGTATCCTACGGCTCTAGCTACAAGCAGGAAATTATCAAACATGATTTTATTTAAGTATCTCAATACAGATACGATGTCAAATTTGTATTTCGTTGAATTTTTTTCCTGGTTACTCTTTCGATCGTTTTTGTCTGAAGAACAATTACGCAAAAGAAATGCGTATTTGTTTAAATAGAAGTCAATCGAATGACCTACTATTTATATAATCTTACAATGGTTAAGTAAGTACTAATATAAAATTTGATTGAGAAGAAGGATCTTAGCAAATATAGAAAGAAATTTATGACTATAAAATGTCACATTTTACGATACAATCATACATTCATATTTAAAAAAGGAAATAATCTCCAACATGAAGTACATCTATGTAGTTGTACTTACAAAAGAGAGAACATGTTTTATTGTAATATTCATTTTACGATTAAGATATAAATCTTTTTTCTTTGCTTACATGAATTTTGAAAGTTTATTTGATTTTCCGTTTGAATATATCATAATAAATTCAATAGTAAAATCATAATGAAGTTAATAAAATTTAATCATGTAAAACATCTACGATATTTTTTTTTTTCTATCTTCAATAGATGTCAGCAAGATAAACATCATATATCTTATTATCCATAACGTGGAAAATCATGATGGCTATTTTTTGACGAATCACTATGAGCTCTTTGTCCGGTTCATATTGAAACAAGTCAATATATTCTTTCAATCGTGTGTTGACTTTCTTTTGTTTACTAATCACCAACCAATTTATAGCTATTTCCGATTGCCCAATTATGAAGTATCCATATACCCAAAAGAAAATGTAAGACTACTATATTCTATTGTGTAAGGAGAAAAAAAAAGAACGTTTCCTGTCGGAAAACTATTGATTGATTTCCCTCTTGATTTATCTTTTTTATATTGTGTAATGTATATATCTTACAGTTTTCTTGTCATTTTTAGTACCTATATCAAATATATTTCATCAATGGATACAAAACATGTTTATCAATAAAATGATCATCATAGATGAATATATATCTATTCAATGATTAGTAATTGATAATCATGTTCTTTTTTTTTGTTGTATAGAGAATATACTATGTCCTTCATATTCAATAAGTTGCTTTTTTTTTTCTTTGCGTGAAGATGTTAAGAAGAGTTTTGCTCATAAATAGAAAAAAAAAAGTGTAAACAAATCATAATTAGAATAGTTCGTGATGATAACACTAACTTGCTGTCTCTCTCTGACTCGTATGACATTGACTTTCTAATGGTTCTCGTTAAATTTACTCTCATCATCATTATTAAGAGTTTACTGATGATGAAAGACAACGAGGACAATGTATAGTATTATGCCTCTTAGGTCTTTGACAGCATCACGACAACTGTTTGTCCTTGATGCTGGTGTTTGTCGTTGACACACACACACATATGTATATATATATAGATATCTATACACACATAGGTGCAGATAGGCAAGGCACGGTCCAACGACGTATGGCAATTGCATTGAAGATGACAACGATAGTGGCAAAAAGATGTGCACAATGGCACAAAGATGTGCTATTACTGATTGTACTACTTCTGTTGTTTCGAGTAGTCGTTCGCCGTTTGCTGTTGTTGTTTATTCGATTCTCGTTGCCTGCTCCTCGAGAATGTCGCCAAAGCTGTATTTTTATAATGAAGATATCACGGGGGAATTTTTTCTTCCATTATTTGTCGGCATGCATATTTTTTGCTCTTCATCACTATTTAGCAGTCGTCGATTTAGGAAGTACAATAACGAGAGAAGAAGGAGAAGAAAAAAAGAAGTCATTACCACCTTTTGTCTTTCTCTGTAGTTTTCCAATAGGATGTTGTCTTTTATTTTTGTCTATCTCTTGTTTATCTAGAAGTACTATCATATCTATTTTTTTCTGCCTTGATAATCAAACAACATAATGTAAGAAGATTGAGCGACATATAAAGATTACTGTCGTACATTTTCTTTTATTATTTTGACTAATTATTTTTCTGTTTTGCAGATGTAATGTCGACTACTGAGTCAAATAATAGCGCTATGAATTCAAAGGTTCAGTCGAATACAGTTACTTCGACTGCACTTGTTTTATATCCGTCCAATATACAATCTCAAACACCACCACCAGCACCATTACCATTAACATCAAGTACATCATTACCGTCATCACCAGCATCATTTAATGACGATAAACCTATTGAAAAATTTTATAAAAAACAAAAACAAATTATAGTTGAATTTGACCAAATTGTTAAAGGTATGTAAAGATTTTCTCTTCTTATCTGTAATTATTATTATAGATGAGAATGAGTAGGAGGATATCAAGTTCGAAAGGGCGAGATACATACACGTCCTTCTCGCATCATGCGTACATATATATATATAAATACATATCTATACTCATACAGGGTATTATATATCAACAATCCGTGCATGATATGTAAAGCCTTGTTATTATTCTCCGTTGACATCAGAAATACTGATGATGATGAATTGAAGTCAACAAGTCAATATTAAAAAACAAAAGAAAGAAATATGAGTTTAGTTTTTCTATAGAAAACGTCAAAAATCATGCGAGAAAAAGATTATAATCGATAGAAGTCGATGACATGACAAGAAGCCTAAAGGCATTATTGAAAAATTCGATTAAGAACTTGTTCAATCACGCATAAATACTGTTCAAGATAAAACCATTGAAGAGAGTTCTAATAGTATATTTCATTTGTTATTATTATCACTCTATATTCAAGAGTTAAAAAAACAAACAAATATCAAAATTTTATCATTAAGTGTATTTTCTTTTCATTTGCAAAATAAGATAGAGTCAAATAATAAAATGAACACAAAAGGTATCACATTTCTCATGAACAAGATGTAGACAAGAAAAAGAAAGAAGAAGGAAGAAAGAAAAAATAAATATGAATAAGAACGTTGACCGATTCGTTGATGTTGAATGCGTTTGCTTCACATTGGAATATAACATTGTTCCTCTTTCATCGTTCATATCTATGCGAACAAATGTTTGCTATTACTCTGTTGGAGGGCAGACATACACATAAAGTGATACATTAAGCTCCAACATCGTCGTCGCCGTTGAGCAGAAGAACAAGAGGAAAAAAGTCCTTTACTCATTCGCTCATTCAATCATCATCATGCACACTCACGAACGAACAATTAGAATATAGTTGTCTATCTATCATGGTGAACTATACATGTGGAGTAGCTTCAACCAAAAATAGCTTACGCCGTTCATCTAACTCACAAATAACTTTATTAAGAAAACAAACTGAACGTTATAGACTTCGTAGGATTATCAGATCAATAAAAATAAATCGTATTTTCTTATTTCTTTGTTTGTCAATTAGATATTCGTTTTCAACTTAATGAACAATTGAAATGTTTGGAACAACGTATCGATACACAATTATCAATTCTTGCTGAAATTCAAGAGTATTTTAAACGTCGTGCTGATGTTGAACTTGATTATGCTAAAAATCTTGATAATTTACATAAACAAATAGGTCAAAAACATCGAACACAAAAAGCACGGTAAGTTATTATATTTATATTGAATAAATTCAATATAAATAATTCATTATTTTTACATAGACGAGAAACATGGATTCTTCAATCTATATATAAATTATGGGATACTATTGTTCAAGATACTCGTACTCATGTTAAATATCATACAATTATGTCTGATATTTGTGGAAAATATATGTATGATAAATTTAATGAAATTGTTGAAGATACAAGACGAATGTTTACAAAAGTAAAAACTAAGAAAAAGAATGAAACAAAGTTTTTTCTTTTTATTTTGACTTTTTTTTTTTTTCTTAGTGTAAATCAGTTGCTTTAGCTAGTCATGAAGATATATTCAAAGTGCTTAATGAATTACAGAGTGTAAGTGATTTATTTATTATCTTTTGTCTCTCAAACATGTTGATTACATATGTGAATGTTTATTTAGACAATGAAAACCTATCATCAGTATCAGAGTGAAAGCAAACAAGCCGAACAAAAATTACGAATTATTCAACAACAGATGGCAAAAATAAAAAATGCTAAAAAACAAAAAACTATGGAAAAACGAGTTGAAAAAGTAAATAAAAAAACTCAGCCAACAAAAAAATTTTGATTCTTTTTTTTCTCCTAAATATTAGAGACAAATGAAATATACAGAAACGAAAGTAAAAGCATTTAAAGCACGTAATGATTATTTAATGACAATTGAATCTGTTAATGCTGCATTAAAAAAATATTGTACAGATGATGTACCTGATTTAATTGATTGTATGAATTTTGGTTTTCATACATCAATTGCTAAAACAATACAAATGTATTTATCAGCACAAGAAAATATTAAACGTGGTCGACAAGCGTATGTTTCACTTGTCATTTTTCTTTTTATTCAATTAATAAAAAAATTATTTATATTTTATTTTTAAAGAACAATTGAAACATTAAATCGAGCCATTGGTGATTTAGATACAGTTACAGATAAACAAAAATATTTAGAATATTATACAAATATATTTACAATACCAAAAAAAATTAAATTTGAACCACATAAAGGTGATGAAGTATCAGCTGTTAATGCTCAAGTATTAATACGTGATGAAATGCAATCACGTTTTATACAAATGCAAAGTAGACTTGCAGGATTAAAAACAGAAAATGATGAGGTTTGTATGTAATTAACAATTAAGAGAAATCTATTATTAAGAATTCTTTTTAAGAACAAAAGAAAACATTCAAAAGCCTTTTTTTTCACATTTACAACTTGATCAGCAGGGGATTTTTTTTTTCATAGAAAATATGTTTGAAGTTGTCTTATGTAAATAAAAATCTTTTTATCCCTACTTATCATACTTAAAGAAGTATTTTACATGGTGTTCTGATTCTTAGACGGTCAAGTATATGTAAAGAATAAGTAAGTAGAAAATTGATGTCAATATGTAAACAATTACTCTTGAATAGATTGCCTTAGGGAAGGACAAGAATAATTAAATGAACAGCTGTTCGTGTAAGAAAAAGAAATGTAAATATTTATTGGATTTTTCTTTTTATAGATATTCAAAACAATTGAAGCTACAGAACAATCATTAATGGAATTCATAAATACAAAAAATTCTGATGTTTCCGATTTATTTAAAGATCTTAATTTACCACAAAATATTTTCAAAGATAAAAGAAAAGAAATTGAAGATTATTATGTTGAGGTATTCTTAGTTTTAGGCTTCTTTTTTTATTCATATACATATTTTCTTTTTCACAGAAATTTAAACAATATACATTAAGTAGTAATTTAATTGCACGTTTACAAGCACGTCATGATATTATGCAAAAAGCATTAGGTGCTGCACCAACTACAACTGGTGTCGAAGATAAAAAGTATACAATCTATTCTATTGATAGCTTAATAAAGAAAACAACATGATTATTTTTGTTTCAGTTTAATACGTCGTCCAATAAAACCAAAACAAATTGGTCGTGCTCCAATTCTTGGTCGTCCACGTTTATTTGGTGGAAAATTATTAGATTATATTCAAGTAACCCAACAACATGTACCATTAATTATTTCATCATGTGTTAGTGCTATTAATCGACTAGGTTTACATAATCAAGTAAATAGAAAATTTCAATTGGGAAAGTTTCTAATAATGAAAAATTTGTTTTTTCTTTTTTTTTTTTATCTATGAAGGGTATTTTTCGTGTACCGGGTGCACAAATTGATATAAATCAATTTAAAGAAGCATTTGAAAAAGGTGAAGATCCTTTAGCTAATATAACTGGACGTGATATGAATTCAGTTGCTGGTGTATTAAAATTATATTTTCGTGAATTAAAAGAACCATTATTTGCTCGAGATATGTTTGATTCATTTATTTCATGTATTGGTAAGTAAAAAAAAGAAATTTTTTTTAACCAAAAAAAAACTTTGTCTTTTGTTTAGTTGATGTTGAATCTGAAGAAAAATGTGTTGAAAATCTTTGTCAAGTTGTGAAACTTCTTCCTCGTCCAATATTTATTGTTATGCGTTATTTTTTTGCTTTTCTTAATCAGTAAAATATTTATTTACAGTCTATACAAAAAGATCTATTGTTGTTGTTGTTGTTTTTTAGTCTTGCAGAATATTCTGATGAAAATATGATGGATGCATCAAATTTAGCTAGCTGTTTAGCACCAACACTTATGCCAATACCTGAAGATAAAGATCAAGTACAATATTTAACACATACAATTGAACTTATACGAACAATAATTACACATCATGAAGAAATATTTCCATCGGATGGTAATGGACCTATCTATGAAAAATTTGCGATTACAATTCCAATGTAAGATAAACGCAGAATAGAAAAGAATTAAGTTTTTCATGAAAAAAATTTCTTTTTTGTTTTTATTATTATTTTCTTAGTGATGGTGAAGAAGATGAAGATGATGAAGGCATCAGTGAACGATCATTAAGACGAACACCAAGTGATGATGGTAAAGATAGATTATTAACGAGAAGAAACAGAAAAAAGAACAATTATTTCGTCTTTTCTTTTTTGAAATGTTTCTAGCCTCACAAGATTCCGATTATTGCACCGAAGATTTTAATTTAATGAATGAGACTGATGTTTGGTAAAGAATGAGGAAATAATAGAGAGTTGAGACGAAAAGAGAGAGAGAAATGATTTGCATTCATGCAAGAGGACCTTGGAAAAAGCGAGCGCATGTTTCGCATGGCTTCCGCATTATTTCCTTTTGTTTCAAAAGCTATACACGTCCTTGTATATGTGCGTGTGTGTGTGTGTGTGTGCTTTTTTAAATGAAGTCTCAATGGAATAATATTTATTTTTTTGTTTTTTTCTAGAAGTGGAGACGATTGAAGCAGTAGCATTGTTTGATTATGTTGGAAGAACTGAAAAAGAATTATCATTTAAAAAGAATCAAATTATTTATATATTTAAAAGAATGAATCATGAATGGTGGCAAGGTTGTTTAGCTGGTGGACATGAGTCGGGTTATGTTCCCGACGGTTACATCAAGCCTAAAGCAAGGTTTGTAAAACAAAACTAAGTTTAAGTTATTTATTGAGAGTTAAAGTTCGAAAATATTGATTTCCTCAATAATGTCTTACAATGCCCTTCTGACTTAGTTCGATTGATTTGTGTTTTTTTTTCTTACAAATGCTTGAAATATTTCTCTGAGTATTGAATTGGTTGCTTTCGACGTGTGATTTTGACTTCAACTTACTACTGCAAAACCATTCGTAATTCAAATCGATGAAGTTACCACAAAGAATTTATAGAAATATAATTTTTTCATTTAAATTATTGCAACGGATTGCAAATCAAGAGCCCACCTCTTACAAAGTAATCACTCGAAGTGATACTCACTGTTTAAGCTTATATTTAATTTAAAAAGTTACTTTGATTAGATTAGTAATAATCTAAAAGAGTTTTTGTCCATAGACATTTGGAGCCAAGTTATAATTTTTTAAGTCAATTTTTGATTTAACTTTAGGTATACGTCAGAAGATAAAAAAAAGCAAAATTTCGACGAAAAATTTTGCTCATAAATAGGCCTAATGATCTGTAGAATATTTAGAAAACCGAGTGTACTTAAAGATTGAATATCTTGATAAAAGGACTGAAACTTTTAAGATATTCTATTGTTCATAAGACCTATCCATGAGCGAAACTTTACATCGAAATACTGGTTTTTCGCTATACACTTAAGACTGAATCGAAAATTTAGTAAAACAACCATGACTAGGTTTCTAAGACTCACGAAGATAAATCCTTTTTAACTTCTGCTAGTGTCGCTGACACCTTCTTGTATGTCCACTATGAGCTCAAACAGCAAGTATCTATTCTAGTATTTTCCTTGTCAGTATTTTTTGGATACCTTTCTCAATATTTGAAACTTTGACTTAAATGTTTTTTTTAAAAGATAGCAAGTAAAACTCTCGATGACACTCAATGAAAATAAATGTACACGACAATAAATAACAAGAAAACCAAATTAGATCAGCAGTGCTCTACTCCAAAGAAAGATCTATCTTTAAGCTAGTGTTGTCGTAGAGAGCAAAAATAGTATGCATCCTATGGTGGTTGATAAAAGAGTCTGTCACTTGAGCGAATACTTTTTATTTTAGTATTCGAGAAATATTTCCGTACAAAACATTTTTTTTATTCTCATTTATTCACATTTTAAGAATTTTTCAGAGAGGCCGATCAAAATTTTTATTTAGTTGATAGAGATTTTCGATGTACAGATAAAGTGAACGGACATATTCTGTTATGATTTCGATCCGAGCGAACTTTTATGTAGGCTCTTTTTTTTTGTAATCAATAGCTTGACGAAAGTGAGAAAAAGCATACTTGTGTACTTCTGAAGTACAAAAAAGTACAGGAGTACTAAGAAGTACCGAACAATGCCAAGAGATACTCAGAAGAGTCAAGAAGTACTGACAAATATAAAAATGTTTACAGGATGATGACAGTTTTTGTCAGCTTCAGATATTGATTAAAAATCAAAAATAAAGAGAGCCATAAGAAAAAGCTGTTAGCACAATCGCTCCAGAATTAAAATGTGAAATACGATGAAATTCTAGTTTAGTAAAAGAGAAGATTAATCACAATATGTTTCGTATTATGAATTCTTACCTACGTTTAATGCATACCAATGATGAAAAATATTAATCGGAATAGATGACAGTGAGTACAAAAAACAAGTAAAGAACGATTATCATATTACTTCTGCAATGGATTTTGACCTCCCGGTTATGTATGCTGTCACGGTCTGTAACGATTAATTGCTAAGATATCTGTGACATCCGTGATGACTCGCTGCTAACATGTCTGTCACGTCATCATTAATATTCTTTGCTTGTTTCAATGACATGATAAAGGCGATCACTTGATGAACGAGTGTTTGTGTCCGTCAAGGATCATCATGCTAATTATTTATGCAAATATTTATAATTCTCATTAATTTGAATTTTGAATTTTGAATTTTATATCACGCTTTAATACTGATAGAATTTGTTTTTGATAAAGTACTATTTTCTTCTTCATTTTCTTCACCATCAAGCATGTAAATAAGCGTGAGAGTAGAGAAGGCTTTCACTCACATCCAAACCCACACCCAAACACCACCGCTAGACACACTTACACCTAGATATCCTCAAAATTTATATTATAAAGAGAAGCTGATTATTTCTCTTTTATCTCTTGAGTAAAAAAATACATGCAACACTATATAGGAGTTAACATGCATGTTGATAAGTATAATTTAAAAAAAATTGATATTTAAAAGTAGTTACTCTTTTATATCTCTTTTAGACGTCGAGATTCAGCTCCAGTACAAGATCGTCCATCTCTTAGTCTTACTCCAGATCCATCATCATCATTTAATTCAATTAATTTAACAGCATCATCAAATGATCAACTTAATGCTCCAATGGTTTATCGTCAATCATCTGATTTATCAATTGTTGATGAACATCGTCTTGAAACAGCTAAAGAAACTGAAATAGTTGAAGTTGATTCTGATGTTGATAATGAATCTGATGATGATGATGATAATGGTGATAATGATAATGAAGATTCTGATGAATCACAAGAAAATACATATGAAAATACAAGTAGTTCAAGCCATCAAAAATCTACTAATCATCATTCAATTTATGATGTTTTACCACCAAGTCCACCAGTATTACAAACAAAAATCGATTATTGTCATTCAAGATCATCAACCTCATCATCATCACGTTTAACATCAACAAATGAACAACAAATAATTGATATTGATACAGCATTACGTGAAGTATTATCTGGTATTCGTACAGTTGAAGAATGTCATGCACAATGTTTTCGTACTGTATCAACAATAAATAATCAACAAGATGAACGTTTATCAACACAACAAGAAAGTGATGCACCTGATCTTGTACTTAATTTACCTATATCAAGTGGACTTATAACACCACCATCAACAAAATCAATTGATAATAATATAAATGAACATCAATCGTTAAAATCGTCATCATCATCAAATAGTTCACCGACTCATCAAACAAATCAAAGTCATAATAATAATAATAGTCCATTACTACCATTAACTATGATTAATGATTCAACACGCACATCACGTTCCAATTCTTCATCAACAACAACAACACATTTTATTGAAAAAATTCGTCCATCACCTGAACCGAGTCATCGAAAAAAAATTCCACCACCTATTATGAAAAAACCAGAAAAAACTATGGAATTACTTAAACGTCTTGGTTTACAACCATCTAATGAATCATCATGCGGTGCTACAAGCTCATCAACGTCAGCCTCTTCCTCCTCATCGTCGCATTTACATCAACAATCAGTACCTGTTGCTGGATCGTCTAAAACTACCGATGTTTAATTAAATATTTTTCTTCGCTAAAAAAAAAAAGAATAAGAATTAATCGGTGCTGCTAGTCGCGCTCTTTATCTCGTGTACATAATTCTTTATCCCATCGGATTACTGTTTCTTTCTCTCATATTTTTTAGCGTGTAAACAATCATTCTTATATTCTCATTGTTGGCCTGTGTTTGTGGCTCTTGTCTTAGAACAAAAACAAAAATAACAAAATCGTTTATCATTTTTGTTTGGTTGTTTCTGGATTATAACCCGTTGTCCATATATTCTTTTGTAATGCAGTTCGTTTTTTTTTCTATATGATTGTATGTTGTAGAGAAGAATCTCTTGTTCAATGAACAACGATAAAATAAGTGAAACAAAAAAATAAATGCAAATAAAATTTTGAAAAAAGTCTTCTTAAATCAAAATATATGGGATGAATTAGAAAATCACAAGAGTAATGAATAGACACTATTGGGTCTCAAATTTTTGGGCCCGGATCTGGTCGAACTCGTACGCTGACTCTCTTAATGGAAATTTCTGGTAGATATTGGATAGTCGCCTCACAGATAGGAAATACTATTTTCTGATTTTTTGTGTTAGAGCACTGGTGTACTTTACATATTTCTCAGACAACTAGAGTCCATTAGATCCTAAATGTTCGGATCTGGTTAATGGAAAACTTTCAGACGTGTACTTAACCCAACAAGCTCTATTAGTGAAACTATTTGACAATTTGGTTGATTATTTTGATCAATATGTGTAACATTTTCGTGCTTGAAAACAACATGATCAGATACAATATGAATAAAAGAAAAATTTTAAACTTCCCTCCACTCAAAAAGCCGTCAATTATCGACAGAAAAATTGGAATTGAAATAAATCTATGGGAAGATAGCTCGTGATCTGATTTTGTATAGCCAATATGTTTTTTTATTTGGGATCTCATTTTTTGGCAAAAATTTTCATGGTTTCCGTGATTTCCTACTTGAAAAATATGCTTTTTTCATAAAACTTAGCCCATAATTTCCTCTGTTCTGATGATGCAATTTGGTTTTTTTTGTTTGAAAGAAACATGACAGATTCTTGTTTTTTGAACAAAGTTTTGTTGCTATTATATAAGAGTACTTTTATAATAACGGCGTCATTTTTTTTCGAGATATTGAACTGTTCCCTCCTTAAAAAGGAAGAGTTTTGAAAAGAGGGCTCTCTCTCTATCTGAAATGAAGATTTACAGAACATTTTGAATCGCCAAAAGATCTATTTTTGACTATTATTTGCTAAATGCCTTCCGAAAACATCATGGTATAGACGCTAAAATATCACCATAACCTCTTCACTGCAGCTTCAATATATCCTGAAAATTTCGTATGATTTGAATGTGTCTAACTCACGATCTATTTTTGAGACCGGCCTCAAGAGAATCCCAATGATACAATAAGACAAAACAAATAATTACTCTCGCTCTATACATTTCAAATATTCCAATGCAAGAGGGAGAAAAATGATTTATCTGCATTGGAATATTTGAAATTCATAGAACGAAAGAAATTGTTTACTTTGTCTTGTTGTTTCTTTGAGATTCTTTTAAACTTCTTCGTTTGTTCAAATCATCTGCTATTTATAAGGATAGAGATCAGTATACACCAGCTCCAGTGAACTGGATGCTAGTCAGCTTGGGTTCAGTGTATACCCAACATAAATGATAATTAGTGGTCATAGAGCACAGATAAGTAGAGATACGTGTACACAGCCGACCTGAAACTCATAGTAATGAAACTATATGTGCTTGGTTTTGGCTTGTTAGAAATTAATATTCAGCGTAGTACTTCAATGCAGTGATTTCCTAATGATGACTTTGCTATATCAATAATAAATAATCATTTTATTCGATCAAATGACTTTTAGTATTAAAATTCAATATATACAATTCTAACGAAACATAAAATTGTTTGTAGCCAGAAAAAAATAGTTTTTAACAAAGTATTACTGGAATGTGATCATCTTATATTATATAATATAATAAAAGTAAACAATTAAAATCTACGATATCTGAATAAATCTCTGGAATCTCTGATTTTCAATATTTAATTCAATATATCATTTTCTGCATGTTTTGTGTTATGCATCAATGTATTCAGTAAAAAACGACAAGTCACTAATAAAGATTTTCAATACGTCAATCGACAAAAAGTTCAATTTTTTCATTGAAATAATAGACACTGACCTACTCTCGTTGGATTATTTCACTATTGAATTTATATCGAACGAGTTAGAAAAGAATTGGCTTATCTTTCAATCCTTTATAACCCACGATTGTTTACTTCATCAGCCGAAATTACTTTTGTCGTTTGTTTAAACAAAACAAAAAGAAGATGCTTATGTCATCTTATTTATTGTCTTTCTTTTTTCTAAACATTCGTTCATTTATTCATTTCAAATCTATACGAATACAATGACAAAAAAGTAAGTATTAAAAATATTTGCTTCAATGATCATAGAACATTGTTATCTGAGAGTTGAAACACCAAAAAAAAAAGAGAAATGCCGTAACTATGCAGTAATTGATTTGATTATTTTAACAAGATGTAGGTGAAGGATCTTATTGCATTCTATTATCTACTAAGATTTAAGTTCATTGAACATTTTTTGTATGACAAACATGTAAATTATATATTGTTTGACATATGTAGGTGTTAACAAAAATATAACAAAAAAGAAATGAACAAATTCAATAACAATGACGTCTTTACATATTTCAATTGTTCGAATAATGTTACTCACTAAATATAATTATTTATCAATACTATTTGCTATTTTATTCTTTTTTCTTATACCATTAACAAATAGTTGTAATATATGGAAAGCATCTGAATGTCCACAACCACCAACAGCTGATGATGAAGACATTGTATGATATTTATTTTTTAGTTATTTTTCAATTGATTTATTTTATGTTTAGTTTAAATATGACTTATATACGCGTGAACAACTTTTTCATTTTTGTGATCAAGGAAAAAAATATGCAGAATGTGTTAATAAACAACTTCATTGTTGTGATCTAAAAAGTGAACATACAGGTGCACTAGCTGCGTTCGAAGTCGGTCTTCAACAAAATGTAAGATCTTTTAAAAAATTATCATCAAAATTCATTTCTTATTTTAAAAAATCAAGAATCGAATTGTATTATAGAATGACTTATTCTGATAATTTATTCATATTGGAAATACATTTCTGATTTGCACAAACTAAAAAGAAACTCATTTTCATATTTTAATCTATTTTTATTAGGGTTGGCGATTAGGTAGATATTGTGCTGGTCTTGGCGCTACTACAATTATTCAATATAAATGCAAAACAACAAGTCTTTCACCAGCTAAAACAACGACAACAACAACATCAACATCATCAACAATGGCACCATGTGAAGTCGAAGAAGTCAGTATATATAATATTTAAAAAAGCAATAATAATTATTAAATAAACATAACATAGGCTGGAAAAGAATGTAATGATATATTAGAAGATCGACTTAAATTTGAAGTTGGCTGGTCTGTACAAGAAAAAATTCAATGGTGTAAATTAGTAACAGATTATATTCAATGTGCTGGTAAACATATAACAAATTGTTCAATAAGTGAAGTTCGTGATGATGTTGAACAACTTTCAAATTTTATGGAATATATTATGAAACAAGCTAATTTACATTGTCATGGTAAAAAGAAAACAATAAATATTTCGATTTTCTAAATCATGCTTATATAATTATTTAAGGTGGTTTTTATGGTTGTGAAAATGCGATTACTGATGTGCGTTGCCGTTTAACTGCAAGACAATTCTATAATGGTGAAGCTCTTTATTCAACATCAAAATCATTAATCATCGAATGGTACTTATTTTTATCTGTTGCTTTAATATGTTGGTGGAATAAATAAATATTCAATACTTTAGAATCTATAATTGATGTTATTCATGAACTCATTTTAATACAAAAAAAATAGAAATAATTTTAATTGAGCTTCTTTTGTTTTCTTCTTTTAAAAATCTTATACAAACTTTGTTCTTTATTTTCATTGCTAAGAAAAACCTGCTCGTATTTGCGCGTTTATAGACAATAGAAACAATATATAAAGATATTTGAATATTACCATAAATAATTTTCTACAATCAACCAAACAATGAGTCTCATTAGGGACTGAAGATGAAGTCTCTGATGGATAGAATAAAATTCAATATTCAACTAGAATAAACATTTTTCATTATCAGCAAGTAATGACTAAGCCAGGGGAATAGATTCAGCCCATCTGGAATGATTTTGAAAATTATATTAAAATAAACCCGTGCGTGAGATAAGATGAGCAAACCTATCATGAACCAATCTCAACGTCGTTATCGGTAGAAAATTATGAACTTCTCTAACTCAGTCGTTCTATATTTAAGACTCTTTTGTTGAATACTATCAATCAGTTAATGGTAATGGCTTCAAAAAACAATTATTTTCCTTTTTTCACTCAACTTTTTACAAATCTCCAGCAAAAAATTTGTTATAGTCATTTATATCTGTTATGTTTCTCAAATATGAATATTTGATATTTCTATGCAGCGCGAAAGAAAAAATCAAATACTTATCAATTGATCTTGAATTATTTCACTCAGCTTTTTCAGACAAACAAAACTTTTCTCTTCGAACGATGCTTCAAAACTAAATTCGATCTTTATCAAAACATATGATATATAAATATAGCTGAATTAACATAGTTTTGATTGTGCTTTGTAAAGAAAATGAAATAATATGGACGAACAGAAGATAATAAAACTAAAATTCTTGAAGCAACACTATCTGGTTACTTTAATAGGAACAAGCAAACTTGCTCTCAACAAGTTCTAATAAAATACAAATAGAATATCTATAATATACTTTTGAATCAGCTACAAGGCTAATTCACTCTGAACTGAAAGATTATGTCTATCACAATCATCATGTTCAATCAAATATTTTATATTGGATTCACAATTTAATTTTATTGTATTTTATATATTATTAGTCGTAATATAGAATGAATACTTATTTGATGGCATGTGACGTTAAGTGCAAAGCCAATCGTATAAAATGACATGTACTTTTTAAATCGAGATTCTTTCAATTAAGATAAAAAGCATTCGTAATCCAAAGTAGGTACCGATTAAGAGTAATCTTATTTCGATGAAATGCAAATCAATTGATTAAACGAGGGATACATATTGTTCTTAGTTTACAAAAAAAGAAAATGATTCAAGGTAATAGTACATTTTTTGATTGATTTTTTGTCTTGATATGTTAGTTGTTGTTGCCGATGAAACTCAAAACGATTATTGCTATTCACCTATAAGAATAGAGAGAAAACTGAAATCATAGGATTAAGTTTACTTTACTTATCGATGATCTTTCCATAAAGCTATGGATCACAGCAATTTAGCAATACCAATTAAGTATGAATTTTAAATTTAGACAGAATTTGTTTTTAGTCAGATGCAAAACTACGAAATTCTTTTTTTTTTAACACCAGAAGTAAACTGGAAATAATATACTCAGATATTTACATATCATCTATCAATTACGTCAAATTCAAAGATAAATAAACATCGATAAAAAATACTATTCAAATACCATACATTTAACCCTGACATGTTCATTTAGAGTCCGTGCTGACTCAGTCAGTTACATCGCACTGTTATAAGTACAGAATATCAGATGAAACTACTCTTTTTCCAGTTATGCTCTAGTGAAGACCAATAGTATTTTAAAAGTATCTGTCGGTTACGTCGAACTATTATTTGAGTAGACTATTCCGAAGTACTTGTAAACACTTGTTGGCTACTTAAAGTTCCCTCAGATTGTAGTAAGATTAATTGTTATATTATGCATTCATAACATTTAATCGAACCATGTCATTTTCGGAATACGTTGGGAACACTTAGTAAAGTAGATTGAAAGCATTGGTCAATTATACGCAGTTGTTCTTCTTATATAGAGCAATCCAAAGTATATGTAAATACAGAATAATGATGGACGATTTCAAAATCCTCGAGATTGGAGAATGATAGAACAATGAAAAGAGACTAGATAATTACAATCCAATCTAAAAGCTTTTCTGTTTGTTGCTTTTGTAATCAAGTCTTCACATATTCATGATAAACTAGTCAGAACTTTGTCTATTATATTTATTTTATCCGTTGGGATCCACATGAACTTCAGGAATATAAAAATTAGTAGTCTTAAGGGTGATCATGTTAGGATTAGAGATCCATTCTTTTTTATTTTTGGCATAGCTTGCTAAGCCAAACTAGTTTTCGATGGAATACATTCGTGGATTCTCTAAAGATAAGTCTATATATAATTATTATTATATTTTTCATAGTTCAAATACAAAACCTATTAAATGGGCAGAAGATTTCTGTTATGTTCTTATAATAATATTTAATTTAAGTACTTGGATAGACATAAATAGTGTTTGGATTGAATTACCATTAATAGTGAATAGTGCACCTGAACGTTGGGCATTACCATCCACATTATCATTAGTTATAAGTCTTGCTAATATATTTCCACTTCTAGTTTTTATATTACGTTGGAAGTTAGGTAAATATTATTCGGAAATTCCCTTTATATATGCAATTATAATTGTTGGAATAATTGCTTGTTGTTCAATTGGTTTATTTTGGAATCATACAACATATATTTTTGGTAAAGAACGTAGTGTAGCATTGATTACTGCAGTATTTTCTTTAGCAATTCTTGATTGTACATCATCACTTGTTTTTTGTGATTATATGAGACGTTTAAAAGCAAAATATTTACATGCTATGTTTTTTGGTGAAAGTTTAACAGGTACATTACCAACATTAATTGCATTAGCACAAGGTGTTGGAGGTGAAATTCAATGTATTAGAAATAATTCTACATCATCTTTTAAACCTATTTATTCTGAAGCTCGTTTTAGTGTATCAATATTTTTCTTTCTTGTTACTGGTATTATAAGTTTTTCATTACTAGCTTTTATGACACTTCGATTCACATCTATTATTAAATTAGCTAAAGCTGATGATGAAATTCGTTCAGAAATCAATTGTGAAACAAATGAAATGTTATTAATAACTGATGAAAATATTTCGAAATCCAAAAAAATATCTTTATCAACACCAAATTCAATGACAAAAAAACAATATTTTATTCTTCAATCGTTTAATATTATTAATTCAGCTATTTTATATGGTTGTTTACCAACATTAATTACTTATTCATTATTACCATATGGTCAAAAAGCATTTTATTATTGTAATATTCTTTTTCCTATATCATATCCATTATCTGCACTTTATGGTTTTGTACGTCCAACATTATCAACTTGTTGGATAATAAGTGGCTCAATATTTGGTTGTTTAATTTGTTCTTTTATTATTATTATAGCTTTTCAAAGTCCATGTCCAATATGGGCAGATACATTACATGGAGGAATCATTATGATAGTTGCCTGGTTTTTTGCATCATTTGTTCTTGCATATGTACGTATTGCTAGTGGAAATCGTATTAAATTATCATGGAGAAAAGAAAATGGCTTATTTTATTTTGGTTTAAGTGTTCAAATCGGAATGATAGTTGGTGTTTTACCAATGTATTTCATTATTAATGTTTATCGATTATTACAAGATCGAAAACCATGTGTCACATATTGTTTGTAAAATGAGACAAAAAAATTGAAAGGATGTTATATCTTGTTTTTTTTTAATGTGCTATTTAAACTATAAAATCATATGAATCGGATAAGTAAATAAGACAATAAAGAATAGAAAAATGTTTCTGATTTTGCGTATTGGTGAATTATTTGAGTAATGAGTTATCAAGATGAAGAAACATGCTCTGATTTTAGAGAAGAAAAGCTTCATATAATGTTCAACGTGTTTAAATAAGTCTGGCCCCTTTCTCTAACGCTTGTAGTCACCCCATTTAAACTTTGGCATAAGCTTCTCCATCAGACAGAGTTCACAAGATGCAATTGGATACGATCTTCGGTGATATGTGATTAAAGGATAATAAACTGTTTATAGATGAATGAACATTTATCAATGTAAATGATTAAATGACGAACAAGAGAAGATGATAATTAGCAAGAAAACAAAAATAATGTGAGTACCTGAAGAAGTAACTGATTGAAGTAATGTCCTGCAACTGTAACTTGTAGTCAGCGTCCAGAGTATAGATCCAGATATACACTCGACGATTCGGTGCAGATCCTGACTTTGACTTCATATCTGGACATGAACTGATAATAAATGAGATTTCGACGTTTCAAAATATGTTTATTTTTTCAAACTCCTAATTTATATCCAAGCATAAGAGTGAAGAGCGACTTGATCATGACTGCGTATACTGAGCGACATTGATCGGATTTTAGAAACAGAAAGAAGCCAAGTGAATCACTGGATTTACTTGCTTTTTTTGTGAAATTTGAGTTGGTCTTATTTTCTTCTTGTTATTGTTTATCAAAACAACTGAACAGTATAAATTTTCATATAAAATAAAAGTTTGAAAAGCTCTCTATGACTATGAAATTCTCTGCTGGATGTTGATGAGCTCCGATCGGTGTCCGGTTTCAAAAGGTCGTATTTATGCAGCATAGTAGACTGAAGATAACAGTTAACAAGAAGTTTAATAATGAAATCAAAATGTATAGAAAGAAGAAAACAGTTAACAAGATGAATATAAGTGACAACGCTAAGTTTATAATAATGAACGAACCAATGCAACCAACGAGAAAACAAGCTAGCACTCGTACATTTCTTTACCCAGTATCAAAATCCTGATTATGCCACTATAAAATGAACTGTTAATTTAGAAAATTTTCATGCGGTACTTATCAAACGCTAGATATTCATTGTCGATTGTCTAAGATAAAAATTCTGAAGATTGAATATTCTTGTAGTTGAAAAAAGTAAATCTCTTGTTAGGACATTATTCTGATTTTTCCGAACATGTAGTCCATTTTAATTCTTTAAGAATTAGTTCTGAAAACCAACATTGTGGTCATCAATCTTGGCAAATTGATTTATTCTTAATTTAAAATACAGCTAAAATAATGCCAGAATTTTTCTAATTATTATCTTAGAATATCTTTATCATAGTGATTGATAATACTAATACATTTTATAGTACAATCTATTCTCTTAAAATTACAGATCTAGTAATACTTTTAAAGAAAATTCAGCTACGATCTTGACAAGTAAGTGCTCATTAATCTGTTGTAAATCTTTTTTGTTAAATATTGATTCGACTGTCCTCGATTTCTCTTATTCTTACATAATATCATAATTCGAAAAAAGAAAATTTAAATGAATCGACTCAAACATCCGATATTACATCCAACATAAAGGTGTCAATCTTCTAGACATTATTATGATGAGAACAAATAGATGCACTAAAAAAGAAGAAATGAAAAGATTGATCAAAACGTTCTCTACTCTATTGAATAGTAAGTCATTTCGGCACGTATACATAGACAAATATTCAACATTTGCAGATGCTTAGCAAAGGATTTGCTAACGACGTACAAATGATCGATTCGATTTTTTTTCCTTCTTCTTCTTCATCTTCTATTCTTTCATAGAAAACTCAAATAATCAATAAAACAATAATTCATACTCTTCGAACAATTTCCGTTTAAAAAAAATTTTCTAACACATTTTCTATTTAGAGAAAACATCACTGATCGATTTTTTTGTTCGACTTCGTATGTCAATTTATACAATTTGTTTTTGTTTTAGCATTGATTAAGAATGTGAATTATTTCCGGCAATAACCATCCCATAATATATTTTATATAGATGAGAAAAAAAACAAAATAGTTTATTTCGAAGCTAACCATTATACAATACACAACAAATTCCTTTTTTTCTCGCAATATTTATTTATCACAGACCATTGAATAAATCGAATAAAAAAAAGAACAATTATCCTGTCCACCATGTATGATGATGATGATGATGATAATAACTGGCCTGTGGATTTGAATAATCATTTGTTGATGATGAAGATTCTCCTGTTATTGTTGTTTCCCAAAGAGATGGTTGTTCGAGATTCATTGAAGATGGAGGTGGCGGAGGTAATGCTGGTGGTGGTGGTAAAGGCAATGGTAAACATGAACCGTTGTTTCCTTTTTGTTTCTATTTTAAAAAAATAAAATTATTGTTTTTTCGTTGTTTCGTATTTTATTACTTTTCGAAATTTCGCTCGCCGATTTTTAAACCAAACTTTAACTTTAGCTTCAGTTAATTCTGTTTGTGCAGCGATTTCTTCACGAAAATTAACATCTGGATATATGTTATAAGTAAATGTCATTTCAAGATGTTGTAATTGACTTGATGTAAAATGTGTACGTAAACGTCTTGGTCGTTTATTAGTATTATTATTAGTATTATCAGTTGAAAGTTTTTTTTTATTTGAATTTGATCCTACTGCTAATGATGATAAATCATTTTGATTTTCATTTGATTTAATACTTAAAGATTCATTGTATGATTGTGATGAATTGTATTGTGAATATGTTATATTCGGTTGTTGTTGATAATAATTTGAATCATCATTTGATAATGATTGAAAATAATATTGTGGATAATATTGTTGTTGATATTGTTGTTGATTATAAAAATAATTGTTTGAATCAAATGAAACATCATTTAAACAAGTAAATGATTGAGAATATGTATTATCATATTGTAATAGATCATTATGAATAGATGATTTTTCTTGTACATTCATGATTCTGAAAAAAAAACAAGAAAAATCGAGTTTTGTGATCGTTTGTCTATTGATTATGTATTTTTATAATGCTATTGAAAATATGACGAGTGCCATTGAGAGTACAGGTAATGATTCTCTCCTTCTCTCTCACTTTCGATTTATGTCAACATGATTGGTTTTTTCTTTTTGATTGGCCAATCAAATGATCTTACCATTTTTTCGGATTCTTTTTTTTTTTATTTCCTTATTTATAAAATTCTGCTAGATGTGAATATCATAAACAAATGCAAATACTATCTATTCGTAGTGATAATTGAAAAATGATGATTAGTTTCTTTTCTTCTATGTCGCCGCATTTCTTGATGATGAAGAAAACGAAAACGCCTCTATTTGAACAGGACAGAACGGTGTATATGTGAGTATCTGCTTTCACAATATAATAGATGAGAGACAAAACGACCGATCCTAGTTGTGTATACATTCGTTTTACGATCGATGCACGATGTTGATTGGGGATTAGTTGTATAATGGAAATAAAAATATAGGGAAAGAGAAAGCTATGATATGATCTAAACAAAGATAGGTGTGCTCTACTTTTTTTTCATTGTTCTATGGAAAATATTCAAATTAAGATGATAGGACTATTCTTTGGAGATATATTCTTTCATAGGAGAGAAATTCATCTTGTCAATAAAATGCTGTTGAATGATTATTATGTAAACATTAAGTAAACATCGATTAAAGCATTAGATTATGATTAATGAAATATCAATTAAATTTTTCAGTCAGATAGACTTCAATATGTAGTTTATTTAAATAATTTGTTTCTTATTGTGATATGTTTATCATTCTTAATCGAAGCAAAAGGTTGTTGATTTCTTTTGAATGATATATGCAGAATAAAATGTAATTAATAAATTCAATTAAGAATGTAGTTAATAATTATTTTTTGCTACATGGAATAATGTATGGAACTCTTTCAGTTTCGTAATTCATGTTTTAAAGAGTTATTTATTTTTTATAAGATGAACAATATAATCTTTGTCACCAGTAACTTGAGCAATGTGTCATCAGAAAAAAGTCAAATTTTGAATATAGCCATTAGCGAAATCTATTCGAGATTGAAATTTGAAACCTAAAAAAATTTCTATTACTTATGCAAAAATGTGCTTAAAAGTCTACTTCTCTCAAAAATTGGTCTTGCACCGAGTACATTCAAATCATATGATATATTCGATCTTATACCAAGACACTTTCGAAAGATATACAACATTGAACAGTCAAAAATAGTTCGTTTGACAATGCAAAATTGTGCATAGTGCTTCATTCCATACGTTTTTATTTGTTTTATGTGAAAGAGTATGTTACGATATAGAACATGATAGGATGCTTTCCCTTTTTTAAACTCTTACTTTTTAAGCGGAGAAACGTTCGATGTCTCGAAAAACTCAAAAAAACGATCATATAATATTGACAAAAGCTTAGTTCAAAAAACGGACTCTGTTGTATTCTTCGTATAGACTTATTTTTCCCAAAACAAAAAGCGAAAAAGATGTGTCACTTTTTCTGAATAAAAATTCACATTTTCCAAGTAGAAGATAATGAATATTTCTACGCATCTTTGTGAATTTTATTTTTTTTGACAGAAATTCACTCTTCTGAGGATTTATCGTAACAAGTCGGTTAAAGCTAATCCTGTATGTTTTTATTACATTCTGTTGGATTCATTCAATAAAACTCAATATTATTCTACAATTCTATTCTTTAGTAATATATAAAAATAAACAGTTCATGTCACTTTCATCATGATTTCTATCGTAATATGTAATGTTCGCTGAGAATAGACCTGAAAAGTTTGCTTCATACTTCAGCATTTGTTTTAGTTTATTTTTGATAGAAGACAATCAAAAAAAAACCTTTTCAAAAGTTAATATTGCATTGAAAATTATTCTTTCCTGTCACTATTCAGAACTTTACGTATCTCATATGTATACAGTAGAGTTCTAATTGGTCACACACATATAATCAATCGTCTTATTTTTCTCACATGTCAAGATTGTTTCAATATATAGAGTTGAAATTTTTGCCAAAATGTAACCCCATTTTCATAGTTTGTCTTCATACGACATCAGTTCTCTATGTCCCATATTTACTCTAGCAGACTAGAAATACTAAAAATAATATCATTTCGATTTCACTCAAAATTGATCACACACGGCATGCAAAAACTGTAAGGATAAAATACGATGAAAAATTTTGTATTTCATTCTTTGCAACGACAATTTGCATGTTTTTAAATACTTTAAGTAAAAAGCAAGTCAAACTTCGTTAATCTATTTTTCAGATGTCTTTCCACTAAAGAGGACGGTGGAATACGAAGTCAGATACTCAACTTTATTGCATCTAATATATGATCGATTTTGAGTCTCATTGTTTGTCAGAATTTGAATATATCTTATTTAAAAATTCATGTCGAAAAAAGGATAATTTATATTGCGGAATATTATATCCGTAAATACATCTTGACTTTCTCTCTATTTGGACAGATAGAATAACTTTGATTTTAAAAGCAAACCTAATAAACTATCTTCTCATCGACTACTTCCGTAAAATCTATATGTTAAAAAAATACTTAATAAATGTCTTGATCAATTAAAAACATATTCTTATACATGAACACAAACGAAATTTGATCGAAACAGTTGAATTACAAATAATTTTAAAAGAATATCACCCAGTATGTAAACAACTTTTTCATAGTTTAATTCGACTTTATGTATAAGTCTTCCTCATTTTTAAATTTTTATTTATGATCATAAAGAACATTTTTATTAACTAAAGATAAAATCGTATACTTGAACATCAGTATTATGTAAATCTAGCATTAAAAATAATGGTTCATTAAAATCTCATGTTTACTTGAATTTGTTATTGATAACATAAGGACGAACATTGTTCTCAACCCAGCACAAATAAGAATAAGGAATTACTAATATCTATTTTACCTTGACTGAAGTAAGCAAATTAGTACAAGAATGGATGTGTATGGCTTAGACGTGACGGAAGCAATACGTCATGTCAAACAATATGAGACAACATTTAAAGAACTCAATATTTATGTTATAGGGATTAAAAAAAAAACAAAGTGATCATGACAACAGTGATTATAAGATTTATAGCACAGATGATGCTCATGCATTATATCTTTTATAGTAAATTTACGTGCATATCTACAAATTCTTTTCGGTTGATTGATTTGTGTTCACAAAAATATTCTCATAAAAGCATCAATCAAATAATGTTTAAAGAGAACTTTTTGAAAGTATTGATGCATTATAATAGAATAAACTTTGTACATGGTTTTTCATGACATTTTTAGTAGAAAAACAATCCGAATGTTAACCTTTTTGCAGTCGATATAAGAGAAGGAAGAAACGATTTTGCAGAAAATTGATTTGTCTTTTATTGAATGATTTTAGAGTTTGTCTTGGTAAAATGGTGAGCTGAGGAACGCACGGTGGCTAGCGCTTGTTCTTACATAAATTCATCTAAAAAATATACACTACGAATGACTTTTTTAGTTCACGCAAAGATGAGGCTTTGGACGCATATATACGTTAGCGACTGCCAAAGGCTTAATTGATCATATCACACAATCGGAGGCATCTTACAATTAATAGAAGGAAATATTTGTTAGCTACTCACATTCTGATAAAATTTCGTAAGTAACCTTCACTAAAATATTAATATTTTTGAAATGCAAATCGATATTGAGCTCGGAGGGTGTGAATGTCGATGTGAGTTTGGATATTCTTGAAACCGACATCTACGCTCGCGTCTACACCCTCCAAATCGAGAACATGACTTGAAAAATACTAAGATCACGCGTTAGTGTCCTGAAGTCTTGGTATAGAGCATCAGTATAAAACTGAGACTATTGTGCAAGAAGTATCAGCTACATATCCTTATGCTGAACTGAGTAAATTCATAATAGATCGAGCGACACTATTTTTGACCATCGACGCAGTTCGATGAACAAAAAGCATGAAAATGCGGAAAAAGCAGAATAAGTGACCATTTCCTCGGTCACGAGTGCAGTTTTCATTTAGGAAGAAAAATCGCCACTTTTCATTTTCTAGTGCGTTAATACATGTCTTAGACTTTTTTAACTGAAAATATGTGCAAACGAACAAAAAAACAAAACCTAGACGTTTTTCTTTCATAATTAGGAATTTTCACGTATCTTCAGCAATTGTTTTATTGCCTTGGTAATACTAATCTATTCTAACATTCGTGTGAGAAACAACCCCAACAATAAAGTTAAATTTGCTGGATCCCTATTTGGAATACATTTTCATGGGTTTGAGCTAAATAATAACTTGCACAAAGCTTAAGTTGATTATTTCTATTTGAATAGCATCTGCAGCATTATTGATCTATCAGTCACTATGCCATCCATCAATATGCTATACGCTCAAATCTTCTACAAATCGAAATAATTCGCCTTGCAATCCACGACAATGAGCGTGTCAGAGATTTACAGACTATGCCGTTTATTTAGAAATATGCACATTGATCAGCGTCTATATTTACATTCTGACGCCTATGATTTCTGTCTTGTAGGGCTACCTTTTTCGACATTCATCGAAGCTTTCTTTCTACACTCTCAACACCAATATTTGACTTCTGATCCTCTTCTCGACAGTGTCACTGAACTGATCGATTCCTGTATACGTCACTTGAATATCTGTATGGAAAAATCAGCCGAACCACTGTTCTAATAATTGAATCAAGGTCTTCTGCAACGTGTCACTCACCATACTAGTCCCGCGAATTGATATATGTCATCGGTCTACCAACAAGAATAAACAATTAATGACTGACAAAACCAATAAAGATTCACTTTTTTTGACAGTCACTTGACACTCTCACGAGGATATTAATGTGGGTGCTTGGGTAATAAAAATAACAACAGTAACAGTCATAGTCACTCCTCATCCTTTTCGTTCTTTTCTTAG